ATTATAAAGATATTCTGGAAACGACCATGTCTCGTTATCACATAACTGGAAGGGTTGGTCTGTAATAATGTGTGTGCATGTGCCCACTATTATTAATATGACACTATTAACATGAATGGAATAGATAATTGGAAAATCGCCCTGAGCTACTGTCCAAATCCCACAGCCCATCTTAAAAATACACACATATGCTCATATGTGGACACTTAGCCACAAGCGACAAATGCATTGTTCGCACATTCAATGCCAGTATTTACTGACAGTGTGCTCGGGGGAATTAAAAAACTGAGGATTGAAAATGAATGTAACATAAAGAAGGTGATAAGTAGCTCAGCTGTCTCAGTAATAATGAGAGCGAAGATAGCAGGAGGGAGACAGATAAGAAGGAGAGCAAATTGGAAGCTAAAGGGAAGAATAAAAAGGAAATAACAGAAGGAAACTAGAGAAAGTGAATTAACAGCTTAATGCGTGGGTAATATTTATGTCAATCCGTCACCACATTACATTCAAGTCATTCACTCCCCTCCTGCTATTAGCACGTAGCAGTTGCTTCATTATACACTTGTACACACCCCTCCTACATTGATACCTTTACTACACTGCAGTCACTTCATTATTTAGTAGTACACTCCCTTCCTTTAGTATCATTACCGCAGTGCAGTGCTTTGATTCGACGGCAGTCTCAACAAAGCCTCTCTGAAGCACCTGCCATCCAACACTTTCTCCATCAACTCGTAATGTTGCAGATCCACTCCCTGCATTTCTCAGTCCCTGCCCAACAAACCAGAGGCTCCGTGCAATCAGCCTCTAGTACGATGCTAGGTGAAAGACTAAATAATGTATCTCACAACAGTTTTATATAAAAACTTGACAATGGTGAAGTCAAAAGGGTAATATTTCAAGTGTGATTGTAGCTCTAAGACAGCAACTGTTCAATTCTCATTAATACATCTAATTAAACAATCATGTTTTAAAATATATTAATAAACGCTTGCAAATACATACGCCTACCTGCAACCCCAGATCAGCTGTGTCTACTATCGGACTTAATGCAAATACTTTGTTGGCATATGTAGTGATGTTATTTAGCTTGCACTAACTCTAGCATTGTGGAATATGATTGCTGTACAGATTTCAGATGTTTTAGTTTGAAAAAGGCCTTTTATAATTGTAAATGAGTACCTATGTTCAATACGTTGCCATCTTATTGATAAACCAAGCATTTCACACTTTCATAGAGTTATTATAAATGATAGATAGATACTCAAGACAAACTTTGACAGAAAATCAACAAGATAAAAACTGTGTCCTCTGACTGAGAGGAAGCTCAGCTCTGTAAGCGTACATGTGTGTACTGTTTCTGATCTTAAATCACAACAATATAAATGATTGATTTACCAACAGGAACACAGGATATAATTAACTTGAGCCACAGTATTTCAGATCATCCTTCAAAATCACCTGGAGAACAACAAGCAGAGGAGAGTTTGCTCAATGACTCACTTCTTTCCACACTGGATCAAAACAACATGAATCAGTTCAACATTTTATTCTTTAAAGCAAAAGTTAAAACAAGCCTTTGGGGCAAGGCTGTAATGGCTGACAGCTCGAACTCTTTCTTTAGAGAAATATCAAATATATTTCATCACAGGAAGGCTTTGAACCCAAGCATGAGGGACCATTTCAATGGCCTTCTGGAGAGTCTAACGCAGCGCTTCCACTGCTTGGTAAGGCTCCGCTCAACTTGAGTCATACTTTTTTGGTTTTCAATTGATAAAAGTTGTAGAACGTCCCTTTTACCTGGTACCTTTTTTGGTATACCCTGATTCGAACAAAAAGGTGGAGCTAAAGAATTGCAGACCACTGATAAATAGCCATAGAATCTTACACAACATTTTTTAAATAGCCAAGCAACGCCTGAAAGGCATAATATCTTGCCTCTTAAAGTCAACTATTTACCCAACAAAACTCCTGCCTTACCATCATTAGAAAAGGTTTGAGTAAATATCGATACATTAAGGAAAAACCCTTAGTTATAACACATTTACAAATCAATCAAGTTTCCCTCAACAAAAAGACGCCTGTTTGCTATCCTGGAAGAGCTTCCCTTTAATATAAGGACGAACTCGACACATCTTACATAGCAGACTGAAAGCCCAGCTGTTTCGACTGCACCATACTGTAGCAAATAAGAAAATACAAAAACACTTACTTCTATAAGTAGCACTTGGCTTGTCTTATTTTTATTTTAAGCAAATGCAGAAGCACTTACATTAGTTTGGCTTTTAAAAAAGATAATATAGCTGCAGGATTCTTGCTTTTTTCAGTTTGTTTCTTAATGGTTGAAGGTACTCATTGTATGGACTTTGGATAAAAGAGTCTGTATCTCAACATGGACTGTTGCTATATGAACTATTATACAGAAGTCCAGCACATAAGGGGAACAAAGAAAAAAGTCCTTCTCCTAAATGTTGTTTCATATTCTGGTGCTTCCTCACAATCCCAACGGGAAATCATTAATTTCAGCCTTCCAAATATGCATATGATTAATTATGCATCTTGTTATCACTGGCTAATCTGCATAGGACTCTCATGTATAAAGTCCCTCTCAAGCAAGGCCATCTCACAGGTGGGCTGAGTAAATATACAACACACAGTGGCTGATAAAAAAAAAACAAGTTAATAAACAGAGCTGGAGTCTCGCACACACACATGCTTGCATACTCAAACACGCATACAGATATGTTCAAACAAGCACGGACACCCAGCCGTGCTCTCTCAAGTGTACAGACACCCAGACAGACACACACACACACACACACACACACACACACACACACACACACACACACACCACACACACACACACACACACACACACACACACACACACACACACACACACACACACACACACCACACACACCACACACACACACACACACACACACACACACACACACACACACACACAGCCGTGCTCTCTCAAGTATACAGACACCCACCACCACCCCCACCCCCACCCCCACACACACACACACACACCACACACACACACACAACACACACACACACACACACACACACACACACACACACACACACACACACACACACACACACACACACACACACACACACACACACACACACACACACACACACACACACACACACCACACACACACACACACACCACACACACACACACACACACACACAGAGAGTGGACACCCAGCGAGATGCAGACACATTATGCGCCCCGCTGACAGCAGGTTCCCCCGTACTGATGGCGTGCCAACTCATTAAGAACACAGCTGGCCATAAGGGGGGGGGGGGGTTGAGACCACAGCGGTCTTCAGTTGGGTGTCTAATTGAATTTCCAAGTTCATTGTTACATGTGTCTTTAATATATGAAACTCTTCTAAACTGCAGCTTCCCTTGACAGAAGCATCTGTACTTTCCTGGATGTTGTATTTACTTAGCTATTTTCTATCTTTAAGTATATGCATATATTTAAATATATTCACACCTTAAACTTTATACATATCTTTTCAAAATATAGTCACATAAATGTGCAGAGCTGTCTGAACAGAGTTAACAAGGTTGAGGATATAGACATGTAGTGACGATACACATCGTTATGACTAGGACTTGTCGAGTAATAGGAATTAAGTGTATACCTTGCTCTGGTTAGGATACATTTGAGACAGAGAAAGGCTATGCTGAAGATGGCCTTCAACATGACTATGTGTTATCGCTTGTGTTGTTAATGTTCTTTTTTGCTTGGGCAAGCCTTTAAAATAAAACCTTCAGTTTGTAAGACATCAGAGTTCTCTTGCATCTTCATTATTTAGAGTCAATTGCTCTGAATTTCCTTTGCAGATGTCAATACTGTACAGTGTTTCCCCTAGGTTTACTGCTTTGGGGGGGGTTGCTTTGGGATATATATTTTTTACATCCTCTGGAGCAGAGAGAGGAGCTGTGAATTACTGTTATTGATTAATGCATCAGTGTTTCTTAGGGTCAATAACACTAAACTCACAACTTCAAATTAATTTCTCTCTTGACATTCCTCAACATCCTGCACCTATATGACATTGTCTGACCAGCACAATGAAAGGATTCTCGAGTAACATAAAATAATGTCTATGGTTATTAAAGTACTGATACGGGGTTGCTGTATAGAGTAGGAGCTGTGGAGCTGTGTTTCAACACGACTGTAGAAGAGTGTTAGTTGTTTTATTAAAGTAATGGTTCAACCTTATCGCTCTCTTGTGAAAGTTAGTACATCCTATGACCTGTTAGATTAGCTTAGCATAAAGACTTTAAAATAAAAGGAAACGAGCACGCTAATAACTATATTACAGTGTTTCCCCTAGGTTTACTGCTTTGGGGGGTGCTGTCTGAGCGGGGGGGGGGGGCATTGGGATATTTTTTCTGGAGCAAGGAGAGGAGCTATGTGGCTATTGTTATTGATTAATGCATCAGTGTTTCTTAGGGTCAAAAACACTAAACTCACAACTTAAAATGAAAGCGTTTAGTTTATTTAATAAAAGAGCACATGTTCAATGTGGAAAGTGACAGTAGATATAGATTAGTTGCAATTTGGTGCTATATATATATAAAGGAAAAATTATTTAAAAAAATTAAAAACACCTTAAATTTCAGGGGGGTGCGGGGCTCCATTGGCGGGGAGCAGCACCCCTCCAAGACAATGGTAGGGGAAACCCTGCTGTACAGACTGCTGTTATATGTGTATATAACTGACCGTTTGCACTCTGGTTAGACCCTCTTAATTTCGTTACACTCTGCTTGCATTATGACAATAAAGTAATCTAATCTAATCAATACACATGTTGAAAAAAAAGGCTGAAGTTGTTTTCACTCTGAACACAAATGTATGGTTGCTAGATTATGAATCTGTATGTGGAATGAGAAAACTTTGAGACAAATTACTGGCAATGGACCATCATTTGAATGCTTAAAAAAATACTCACTCAGGTTCCATTTCAGCCCAGTAGTGGTGGTTTGGCAGGGTCCTCCGACTGGAATGAGGCTGCACCAGTCCCCCTCCAGGCCGGTGTTCACCTCCAGTCTGTGGCTGCCCTGCCAACACAGCATGAACATCAATGTGTGTGTGTGTGTGTGTGTGTGTGTGTGTGTGTGTGTGTGTGTGTGTGTGTGTGTGTGTGTGTGTGTGTGTGAGAGAGAGTGTGAGAGAGAGTCTCTGACAGGTGGAAGCAATACGATAGAAGAAAATTAAAAGACAAAAACAAATGTGGAGGAAGACTTCTTAAACTTTCCAGGACCCAAATGAGAAAGCAAGCTTATCCGCCCAGGGACAGAGACTCATTAAAATAAATGATTGCTCATGTCAGCGCTGCAACCCATTTTCACTTCCTGCAGTGCACACACTTAAAAAGAATACCTTGCCATTTTGAATTAGAGTCTATTTTACTGTGTGTTGTATGGAGGGAAAATACTTTTGCATGAACACATAACTGTTATACTCGAAAATCAGTTGTACAGTTATGAATCATAAAAGGGACATTTATACTTTTCTATACGTTTATACTGAAGGGTATTTTATTATATTACATAAGCAATGACGATGGGAAGGATGCTTGACAATATCAAGATGTCGCTTTCGATCGTGTGTGAGTCACAGGTGATGAAATGTGTTTGAGGTACAGTGAAGGCTTTTTAAGAAGTGTTCTACAAAGGAAAATAAATAGGAACAACATTTCAAAAGTCACACAGTACTCCTTTGAGAAACTAGAGCGGCGTACAGAAAAAACACACAGAGTGTAGGTGCCAGGTATAGTGTCAGTACTGCGGCTGAATAATGATTTTGCTCTGAATTACTGATGCTGAATGTAAGAACAGTTCATTCAAAGTATACAGAAAAATATATAAAGAAACGCCGAATGTTATTACAGCACATTCATATTATTCAGTGCTTTGAATTTCTGCAGGCTACAAATGTCATGTATGCTCAAAGAACCACACACACAATTACAAAGACAACAAACTTTGACAGCCAGAGCTTAGATCAGTCAACTAAAAGCATCAGACAGACACACAAAGACCGCGCAGACAGGCACACTCAATTAAGAGTTTGAAATGTTGAAAGTGAGACATGTTTAAAGAGTTCCCTTAGCTCGGCTTCATAGAGCTGCAGAGCCAGAGGGAAGGAATAATGGGAAAACATGTAAGCGTCGGAGCGTTTGTTGTTCTGGAAACATCCCTGAGGTTGTTTTCTATACATAAACACAGCCTCTTTGTGTAAATGTGTCAGAGTGAGAGTGTGTGATGTACAGGGAGAAGGGAAAACAAACACACACACACACACACACACACACCCACACACCCACACACACACACAATATTTCCTTTGTGTGTTAAGGCATAAGACATTATTGTGGAAGATTTAAGTTCCAATTTAAATAATTGCTGTAAAATATTTATAAAAATGCAATAAAACTTGTGTAGGTGGTGTGATATGCACCAACAGGCTTATGTTCATGGTAATGAAAGACATGTAGGAATAAGAAACATAAAACATCTGTGCTGATGCTGCTCTTCAGCACAGATGCTTTTGGCCAAATGCTAATGTTGTCGTGCTAAAACGCTCACGACGACAATGCTAAATGTGAAAAGGGGTTTAATCTTGTTTGTGTAATGTTCTTATCTAGTTTAATGAGATACATGATGTATTAAATAACCCAGTTAAACATATCCAAACAAGTGTTACTTTTTCTTGACATCTTACAATAAATAAATACAAATCTTTACCTAAAAGTCAGGATTATCACTTGGTGTCATTTTAGAGGCACTATTGAACCTGTCCTTGGGTTTCTAAATATATTCTTCATCCTCACTCTCCGAGAGCAACATTAGAAAACATGTCATTACTTGGTTTGGAAAATTTAAATTAAGAATATTTCAATAATATTCTTCAAGTTTCTTGCAAAGTTGTTTATAGGCAAAGTTGAGACTTCTACTTTGTTGTCATGCATTTATTACACTTAAATATTCATATCGGTCCAGAACAGTCCAGGGTCAGTTCTTCAGCTCATATATTTTTTTTTTTTATTCAAATACCACATCGGTGCTAACTTGGGATGAGTCACCACAGCTCAGGTATCACACTTTATCATTTAAATCAGCTCCTGCCCTGACAAGTTTCACTCCTCAAAAGGGCATCGGGTAAACAAGCTGGTGCGTTTGTGCTTAGAGAGTGATTTACGGCACAGATTGGCCTGACACAGCGCTGTGAGTGTCCCACCGCACAGGGAGCTATCTCAGGTATCTTCAGGGGCTCCGATACCAACTTCAGCCAATAGGCGCATTCACACCGCGGTACTTTTCCCACAAAGGTTCATGAGAACTCTTTTATCGCGTTCACACCAAAAAGAGCCGGTACTAAAATTAGTTCATGAGAACCTTTTTACCCCCTCGAAAGTCCCTGCTAGAGAGCAGGGACTTTCGTGCGGCTCTTTTGTGAGAAAAGAGCTATATTTCTGATTGGCTGGGCGGATTGCAAACCACGCCCCGTAAAACTCCCAAAAAGTTTTGTGAAGCCGCCATTTTATTATCCTCGCATTAGCATTATTAGCATTAGCCCAGCGCAGAAACGCAGAGAGACTAATTTATGGCAACACAAAATAAAACATGGGAGATGAGGAGGTGTCGGCGTTCTGGCGATTTACTCGGAAGGCTTCAGTAGAAGCTGCTGGGAGTCCCAGCAGCTTCTACTGAAGCCAGTCCCCAACTCCGGGGACTTCCGGCCGGGGACTTTGGGCGGCAGTATACGCCGTGAAGTGGTTTGCGGCCTGCCAGTAAACCCAAAGCAGAAGAAGAACAAGTGACGTCAGCGGCTTCATTTGCCTAATCCACCCCCAGGGACTTATGGCGCGTTTCCACTGCAGCGGGTAGCCCCGTTTAAGCGTCCTTAACCGTCCTCAAGCGGCCAGGCCGGTTTTTGGTGGCGTTTCCATATAGCCTAGTACCGGCCAGCGGGTACTTTTTCCCTCTTTTTCCGGCCCCATAAAATCGTGGTTCCCTCAGACCAGGGCCAGGGCTGAACTAGTGACGTCAACACTCTCGACTGCTGATTGGTCAGAGAGAATCGTCACAAGATTGCGCGCGAGTTCATCCCTAGCGTCGCATATATATCTAGAAGCAAGCTTGCAGCATTTTTATACACAGCATTTTGTAAACGTGGAGCTACAAAAATGGCTACTTCTAAGAAAAGCACACCGTGGTCGACCGAGGAGGTGACGACGTTCCTTCATCTCATTGGGGATGATAAAATCCAGCGGGAGCTCGACGGAACAACTCGAAATGTGAACAAAAACAAAGCCGATCGCCCCGCCTACACTGCGTTGCTACCCCAGGTCCTAAACTGTAATGAAAATGCGCCACGGCCTGGGCCGGCCAGCGAGGCAGCCCGAGGCCAGAGCGAGGACGCTTAGGGACGCTTAAACGGGGCTACCCCGCTGCAGTGGAAACGCGCCATTATTCCGGTGTGAACGCGATCTGTACTTAGTTCATGAGAACTAAAGAGTTCTCATGAACTACGTTCTCATGAACCTTTGTGGGAAAAGTACTGCGGTGTGAATGCGCAGTCTGCTTGGCCCCCGCGACAGAGACTCAATAAAGCAGTCAGAGCCACCAAGAGAAAAACAAACACTACAGATTAACCCGGAGCAACTTATTTATTTTCTTTTATATTTAAATCAAGGTAAATTTAGCATCACCTTGAGACCTCGACTGATTAAAACATCTCCTTGTCGTGTAGGGACGCAGAATAAACAAGCCCTCGCAGTATCACCGCATATCATTTAATATAAGACACGAGAATTATGCAATGCCCTGAGCCAGCTATAGGAAACACAAGATTTATGCATATTTCCCCAAGAGAGCATAATAACACTGTGACACCTCTGAGAAACAGGAGCCAAAAAACAAAGACACAACACTGATTAAATCAAAATCATGTCTTTAACTTAAATATGCAAAACAACAACATATTGGTTTTATAAGTAGCTTTTAGGCCATAAGCAAAACTTTCAGGTAAAATAATTTGTCAGATTTGCAAAAATGCATATACCTGGTCTTAATGTATTGTGTGTGTTTATGTGTACTGAACTTGTACGCTGTGTATGTTTCCATTGGTACTCCACATCCCGAAGCTAAGCACGTAACAAAGTCGTGATTGCATGAAATACGGGTGGTGAAGATATTTGGCAAAAGTTGTAAACACTTCCATTACAGATGTAACGTGAACAAATAGCACCAGGTCTTTCCAAGGTTGCGTTCACCTTCATGTACAGGCATCTGCGTTCATCAGTCGCTGGCAAATCGGAGCTGCGTTGACAAACGAGCTTAATTCACCCTCACTGAAGTAAGATTAATTGGAGGTGTCGAGGTATGAAGCAGCAAATGACAACGCGCCTTTGGAATAATGACAAGCAGTAGGGGGGGGGGGGGGGTGAGTGCATGAGAGACAGGTTTACTTAACATGCTACAAGGTGTCATCAGGAAGTGTGACCAGGGCCGCCTTAATGCACGGGCTGACCTGGGCTGAATCCCAGGGGCCTACGGAGACCAGGGGCCTATCATGAGCCAATAACAAAGTTTAAAAAAAAATGTAAATAAAAGAAAAAAAAGTTTTTTATTTCGGATGTTTTTAAAAAACATTTAAATAAACAAAGTCTTGGCTTTCAGAATATGAAACTTTTATTTCCAAAATCAGACGATAAATACATTTTTGAAGCTTGTAAAGGGAAGATGACAGCCCTCACTCCCCCTCCCTCCGGCTGAAATTATGAATGTAAGGGGTATAGTAATCATAGATAACACGGCAGGGTCCGTTACAGTTTGTTTTCATCTGGTTTCAAATAAACAAAGTCTTGGCTTTCAGAATATTAAACTTGTTTCGGCAAATTCAGATGATAAATACAACGTTGAAGCTTCGGCATAATTACAAGCGGAGAACGGAGTAACTTGACGTCACAGCAGGCATAACAACAGCCGGTGTTTCTCGTGAGTGTTTTCCCCGGGAAACAAACACAATACACACAAACGCAAAAATACACAAACACACACGTATACACACACACGTGAGCTTCCCCCAGACCAGTAATCCAAACGAAAATATCTTCCCTCCGTAGTATTTTGATCATTTGCTCCGCTAATCAATCAGATCTATGGATTCCAGAGATTTTTCTCAAAAATGATGACTCCGTAACTGTCAGTGGGCACCACTTCACAGCCAATCAGAATGAGAATATGTTTCACATGTGACTTATTCAAATTGCGAGTGATTGAGTGACAGATGAAGGTTGTTTAGGAGAAAAAGTTTGAGAAGAAAAAGTTTGAGAGTGGCGCTCGGGAAAGGAAATTGTTGAGGGAAAAGGAGTTTCGAGACAAGCAGCTATTACAAAAAATGCCGAAGCTTACAGGTTGTTTTAAACCTGTAGGCCAGGATGAGGAGGAAGGAGGACAGATGAGTTCTGTACCGAGCAGTAGCGGTGCCGGCCGTGGGGCCTCAGAGCCAAGTAGGCCGTCTGGTTCTGATAGCGATGGAGTAGCTGGAGTAGCGGGAGAGGAAAAACAGACAGGAGGGATGTTGGAGGAGATGGAGAGGACGACGAGGACTTGCTACGTGGAGGGGAGCCAACGGCAACCAGACAAATACACGAGGGAGGTCCGATACGTCACTCATCTGGAGGAGAGGACCAGGCGTGCGTAGAGCAGAGTGGAGAAGTGCGATCACAGAGCCTGCCGAGGCTATAAATGACTTTGATTTGTTGTTTAAATAGGGGGGCCTACAAAATCAGCCCCAGGGCCTGATGGCAGGTTAAGGCGGGCCTGAGTGTGACTGTTAGTTATTTGTCCGGAAGATCCTGCAAATAAACAACAAAGGCAAGAAAGAAAAAAAACAGTGTGAGTTTCAAATGGCGTCGGCTCAGCCCACTTGTAAACTCAATCAACTGAGGAGCATGAGAGAGTGGCTGGCATCGAGGAAAAACAATTTGGGAGCATCAAAAGAAACTCTCTCTATCATGCACAACAGCAAATTGGGGCGCCATAAGAGCAGAGAAGTGTGTGTGGGTGTTGAGGGGGTGCTGTTCTTGAAGTGATTACTTAACAATGAAACAAAGTGTTCTGCACTCCAATCAAGGTGGAAACAGAAGAAGGAAAATAAGTGTTTTGAGAAAGTACAGAAAATGAAGACAAGGACAGGGAGAGTGGGTGATTACAAAGGCAAGGAGATGCAGAAACATTAGTGGTGGAAATACAATCTCTGTGTGTGTAGTTTTTACATTTGATTCAGACAGCTATAATAAGTCATGTATGTAATGTGAAATATTGGGGATACTTCAAATTCAAGGATAGATGCAGCAACCAGCAAGTGTTATAATTTTACTTTAATCTCCCTTGGCTGAGAATTGTATTTATATTAATTAATTAAAATATATATATTGACGTATCTGTAAGCAAAGGTTAGATACATATACAATTAAAGGTCTTTTCAGACAAGTACTTGTGTTTCTCATAAATTATTTTATTGGTAGTAAGTGTGATATTCATATTTGAGGAATTGTTTGAAGGATTTTTAATCCCTGATTGTAAATTATATGAGACGAATTGTTGTTGATGAGGCTATAGTGCAGGGGTGGGGAACCTCCGGCCCCTGGGTCGTATACGAGGTAATTTATAAACACACGCAAAAAATAAAAAAATTAAAGAAATCTAGACCGCAAAAGAATTAAACAAGTGAGTGCCTGTTTTTCCTGGCCAAGGGCAGGGTCCTTGAACGAGCCTAACGTGTCATCACGTGGTGTCTGACAGGGTTGCAGTTCTGACGGAGAGCACCAGAACGCCGGTCCGGCACTTCAGAAATTGCGGTACCCATAAGGAGCCGTACACATGCCGCAGTTTTTGCGTGGCTGTGTCTTTAGTTGAAAGCCCAGAGGCGATCTGCTCATCTGTCATACTGATCATTCAGTCAATAACTGTGTTGTTATTAGCATCTGGTTAGCTTGCTATGCTAACAAATATAAGAAGCTTTTTCTCCAACCAGTGAGGTAAAGGCAGTGGGCACATCTTTATATGATCATTATAGTTAAAAAAAAAACAAGAGAATAAAGTAAACCGGTATAAAATACTATATGACAGTAAAAAAAAGTTGTTATTAATAAACAAGAATACAGTTTGAAAGGGGAGTGATTTGTAAAATATCCATAAAGAAAAATAAATCTGCTTACAGTTCTGTTTCATCTGGGTGTTGAGAGATGTGTCCATAGATCTCCTAATGTTGCTCTCAAAGTGCAGCAGATTGATGCTTTTAACTTCAACATTAAAAAAAAAAAAATCCCGGGGGAGCAAGCACCCGGACCCCCCCATAGAAGGTTAGCCCCTGCTATAGTGTATACATGTGTGTACTTATATTGTGTGGACCCAAGGAAGAATAGCCAATACTCATGCTAATGCTAATCCTAGGGCTCCTATACAAATATATAAAGACTTTTCAGTTCTATTTCTCTACAGCTGTTGAAAGAATTGCCACTTAGTAGCTCAAAGAAGAGGGTAATGTTACTGACGGACAGGACATAATGTCTGCACACTGTTTTCTCTGTGCATGCTCAGGTTGAGTAATGTGTGTGTATGAGTACTCACGGGTCTGAGGAGGGATGCCAGGCTGGTCCCCTGGATGATCAGCAGGGGGAGTGGAGTCATGGACAGAGCGTGGTGCAGGGTCTCCACACAGGCCATTATCTGGTCGAATCTGCCAGCCAGACCTCCCAGTGTCACTATGGCATCCACCTAGAGAGAGAAACTGAATTTAACGAGACACAACAGGCCAGGGTTTGATAATCTGGACTGACAGAATGCTCTTGTGTGTTTCCATATAGAAAAATGACAGCAGAAAAACTAAGAATATGCCCGAAAATGTTAAATAAATACAACTTCAGGGTACTCTGTATACAGAACGTCTCAATCTGGTTAATATTTATGCACCAAATAAGGACGACACACATTTTTTCAATGACTTGTTCTTTATCTTGGCATCTCTCGAAGGTCAATACATTATAGCTGGAGACTTTAACTGTACTCTAGACCCCGGTAAGGATAGAGCTTCACATATAGACAAGACTCATAACAAAAGTAGGAAAATTATTCACCAGTTAAAGAGCTAAATTTGAGGGACATATGGAGGGACAGATACCCTGGATTATCAATGTATTCCTCTTTTTCTAATACTCATAAAACATATTCCCGAATTGATTACTTTTTAGTTTCTGCAAGTTTGGTATGCAAAGTTAAGGATTGTATGTATGACAGCATTCTGATTTCGGATCATGCCCCGAATAGTATTGTGTATGTAGACCCAGGGCTGTTGAGGGATCCCCCCAAATGGAAATTCCAGCACAAATGGTTACAGGACTCAGACCTAATAGCCTTTCTGGGAAAACAAATTGATCTATATTTTACGCTTAACACCTCTGAAACTTCTGCAAGTACTAAGTGGGAAGCGTTTAAGGCTTATATTAGGGGTCAGATTATTAACTTTACGAGCTCCAAATCTAAAAAGCCAAACAAAAAATACTATTATTAGAGTCCAAAATTAAAGCCATGGAAAACACCTATTTTAGAAATCCCTGTCCTAAATTACACCAAGAATTGTTACTATTAAGAGCACAATATAATGAAATGTCAGCCTCTAAAGCAGCAGCTAACTTACTGAAGCTTAAACAATCCATCTTTGATCAAGGGGAAAAGTCAGGTAAAATCCTGGCATGGCGTATAAAACAACTTCAAATTGAAAGAACTATCACTGTGCTGAAAAACAACAAGGGGGAGCCCGTTGCAGACCTTGTGGCAATAAATGGGGCTTTCAGGGATTATTATGAAAGATTATACAGCTCTGAAATAGACGAGGGGACAATGCTACAGAGTCCATTCTTAGATAGCCTCACGATTCCCAAATTATCGGATGAGGAAAGTTTGAAATTAGAGAATGTATTGTCTTTGGAGGAGATCTCCGAGGCAGTGAAGAGCATGAAATCGGGGAAAGCAGCAGGACCGGATGGCCTGCCCATTGATATCTATAAAAAATTTGAAGCGAAATTAAAGGCAGCCCTTTTGGAAATGTTTATTGAATCTATTCAAAATGGAATACTTCCTCCCACCCTGAGAGGGGCGCTGATCACACTTCTGCCAAAACCTGGGAAATCCTCCTAAACTCAGACTTGAAGATACTTTGTAAGATCTTGGCAAGAAGACTGGAAGGCCTGCTGCCGGAAATTATAAAAGAGGATCAAAATGGGTTCATGGTTGGCCGTCAGGGATTTCACAATGTGAGACGGGTTTTGAACATTCTACATGACCAAAGGGGGTCGCCGGATACAGCTCTCTTGGCATTAGATGCTGAAAAAGCTTTTGACAGGGTGGAATGGTCCTATTTGTTTGAACTTCTTGTCCGCTTTGGCTTTGGGGAGAATTTTTGTAATTGGGTACAACTTTTATACAACGACCCGTATGCAGAAATAATTACCAATAATATCATATCAAAGCCGATAAGGATCGGTGGGGGCTGTAGACAAGGTTGTCCTCTATCCCCCCTTCTTTTCTTAATCGCAATTGAACCATTTGCTATTGCTGTGAGAGAGCACACAATGATTTCAGGCATACATGTGAGAGGGTTTGACCATCGAATAGCTCTTTATGCTGATGACGTGATTCTCTTCCTTAGCAATCTGGAGAATTCTATACCGGCTCTTATGGATCTGATTAAAGGGTTCAGCCAAATATCGGGTTACAAAGTAAATAATTCAAAATCCTCCATCATGCTCCTTAACTCGGAGGAAAGGTCTAACCCACCCAAACATGCTGGTCATTTTAGAACAGTAAATACTTTCACTTACTTGGGTATTCAGATTGTTCCCAAATTGGAGGATATTGTGAACTCTAACTATAATTCGACTATAGCGTCTATTTCCAAATCAGTTGACAGATGGTCAAACCTTCCGATCTCTCTAATGGGTAGAATTAATATACTCAAGATGAATGTTCTCCCCAAGCTGTTATATTTATTTCAAAACATCCCCCTGCCACCCCCACCAGATTTTTTTCCTAGAATGAAGAAAATGTTTAGTAATTTTATATGGAATAACAGACGCCCCAGGCTCCGTTTGTCTCTCTTGTACTTGCCTTATGATAGAGGAGGATTACAGTTCCCTAACATGTTGTGGTACTACTGGGCAGCTCAGCTGAGAACATTGATGTGTTACTACACAGAGGAGAGGCCTCCGGTGTGGAGGGATGTTGAGTCTTGCTCCTTAAAGCTCCCACTTCCCACTTATCTATATTCTGACGACCCTAAAAACCTTAAAAAAACTACAACTAACCCTATAGTTAAAAATATGATTGGTGTTTGGCAGGAGGTTAAAAAATATATGAACGAACCTTCTTCTCTCTCCTGGTTCAGCCCGATCTGGGGAAATACTCTTTTTGCGCCAGGGAATGCCGATGGAGGTTTTAGACTAGGGCTGAAAAGGGGGTGGGACAGTTAAAAGACTTGTTTGGAAGTGATAATGGGAAGTTTTTATCATTTGAGGAACTTGTCAGTAAATACGAAATCCCTCGTAAACATTTTTTTAAATATTTGCAACTCAGGAGCTTTGTAGGAGCGAACCAGGACCGACTCATGCTGGCCCCTCCTCTGTCCATATTGGAGAAAGTTTTAATTAAAAACCCCTTTGGGAAGGGCATCATATCTGAACTCTATGATCTCCTGCTGGCGTTCTCCTCAGAATCCTCGAACTCTAGACTCAATGCCTGGAAAAATGACTAACAGGAAAATCTAACATTGGAGCACAGCTTGTAAGGCGGCCCAAACACAGACGGGTCTAAAGCTTCTGCAATACAAGTGGCTAATGAGAGTGTATATTACACCAGAAAAACTGAATAAATGTAACGCTAATATCCCAGACACGTGCACCAGATGTGGGGAAGGAAAAGGCACACTGTTCCATTGTCTATGGTTATGTCCAAGAATAAAGGAATTCTGGGAAGAGGTTAGGGTAACAGTACAGAATATTTTAGCGATCAGCTTAAAGCTGGAACCAAAAATGTTCCTACTTGGCCTATATCCGGATGGACATAACATACAACGTTATAAACAAGTTTTTATAGATATGTGTTTATTACAAGCAAAGAGAGTGATTGCCTTAACATGGAAAAAGTTGGGCAAACCTATATTGCACAGTGGTTTAGGGAACTTTCTCTATGTCTGCCTTTAGAAAAAATCACTTACATTCTCAAAGACAAACAAGAACTGTTCCAGAAGGTCTGGGGACGCTTTATAGAGTACACCAAGAACAACGACCTATCTCAATTTCTGAACGAAACTGGGGCAGGATAATGCGATAATTCTATAATATGCTATAATATGGTAAAATGTAAATGACTGTGATATCCTCTGTAGAAATACGGTCCTATTGCTGGAAAACTGGATGGTTGCCGATGTATTAGAGTGCCCTTGCGGTATGTACCAATTTAATTTAGTGTTGCTACTTTTCTTTAAAGTAAAGTAGTTGTCCTGTGTATATATGTATTGCTTTTGGCTCTATGTCTTCGTCCTATGTATGTGATTTTTTGTAAGCTGAAAATCAATAAACATATTGATAAAAAAATAAATGAATACAACTTTATGAGAAAAGCTATACTCATGCTATAAAATGTGAAATAGACTTTCACTAGAATATCTTCCATATTATTTGTAGTAATGGAGAATGGTGCAGCTCGTTTTCATGCACATACAAATGTTATTGTGACATTTGGTGAGGATGGATGTCACATTGGTGAGGGTATGTTTTGCAGATATGAGTGAATAAAGCAGCTTAAGAGCTTTATAAATATAAGCGCTATGCACCAGAAGCTAATCCTATCTTGCTAACTAACAAACAAACCAAAAAATGAGACAGAAAACACAAGATCATTGGTGAGTAAATCAGGTGAGACGCAAGATTATTTGTTGTGACATGTAGAAGTACAACACAGCAGTCACATTCATTTACTTATTCATTTATACCTTGTAAAGTACTGTCGTTTATATTTAAGATACATATAACTAATAATTTAGATAAGCCTAACCCTGTTAAATCTTGAGTATGAACTAAGGAGTTTGAGTGCCACATAGAGGCTGGGGAAATCAGAAGACAATGAGATACAGATTACTATAAGGATCTTTTTATGGGATTTGTTGACAATAGCAAAAATATAGAACATTCCCAGCCTTTTATTCACAAAGAAACAAAAGCACCACTAATGCCATTGGGATAGGAATCCATGAATAGAAAGAAACAACAAGGACAAAGAGCTTTAGAACAAATCTGAGGGAGGACAGATAAACAATTAGTGCTGAGTCATACACTGCATTTAGGCCATTAAAATGAGGGTAACAAGCAGTGTCTTGAATTATAGAGGTGAATAAGTTACTGATGCCAACTAATGCCATTTCCTGCAACCAGAGTTAAAATAAGGTTTTCATTTTTGGGCCAGCTGTCTTCTTAAGATACAACATGTACAGCTCTCCGCAGTTATTCCCTAATACAAAGTCCCGGAGCAGTCAGTGGCCCTGCTGACAGGCTGAAAGCTGACAGAGTCGCAGGGCAGAGGCGCTGTCACAGGAAAACAAACAAATACCATCACTCACTACACTTCAAGGTTTTCACGTCGACCAAAAACTGCAAATACAAAAACAATAACACACAATTTAAGAGGTAAATTCACTATGTATTACTTTTTTGTTGTTTTCTTAAATTTGAAAATGTTCAGCTTTTACCACAAAAGCTACTAATAAGCCATATTATATTGGCTATATTTATTTGTTACTGTAACAGAAATGTTTCTGTGTGTGAGCATGCATTACATGTTTATTTTTAATTAAAGCACAGGAAACAGAATCAATTAGCAATTCTTAAATGCATTTTAATTTCCTCTTTACAACAACAACAACAACCTACCGTTATCTCAATGTATTGTACATCATCCAGCAGGTGCTCGGATTAAACTTGTACTTAGGCTCTTTATATAAATAAGTATATAATGATCTATCTAACTATCTTTACTGTACGTAGTGGGTATTCCCTAACTGAATGCATCGTAGCTAACTTCCTGCCTCAAGCGATGGGGTTAAAAGAAAACTAAGTGCTGAAAGATTGAGGTTATTTCAACATCTGGCTGACGCCCCCACATGCAGAGGCTTCACCTAAAGTGTAAACAACAACACTTGGTAAACACACTGCGCGAGAGTTTGACAGACAGTGAGGTTAAGAAGTTAAATATAACTATCTTCCAGTCAAAGAATCGACATGTCATTAATACAAATTACCAAATATGTGTCCGCCACGCATATACAACTCCATATATAACTGTTTGAATTTGTATGTGTTCCTATTTCATGTTTGTTCGCTAAAAAACTAAAACAAGCAGGGCAAGGGGAATCTCACGGCTGAATGAAGAGAATCCAACTCGCTGGCTCAACAGATCCAGGCCGTACTGCCTCCTGACAATAAACTCATATCCATATTTTTAAGGGTGATACACAGATAACCATAAAAGAAAAAGATAAACGTAGTACAGCTAATGCCTGAAACAGTGAAGCAAAAGGAGAGACGCTAACTGGTACACAGAAGACACACACACAAACAAACACACACACACCTTAGGATAGACTCTAGTTGCCAGCAGTGTGAACAACTCCAAAATTGTCCAAATCAGCCAAGCCACTGTTTGACTATTGTCCCCATAGGCTATGTTGGTAATAAATGCTAATTAACGCAACATATTCAAGTTAGCATCCGGCAGTCTCTATGTCTCTATTATACATTTCTATCATAAAACTTTTGTGTACTCAACATTTCTGGGTTCAAAACAGGACTCTATGAGCTGGAAACTTGACTAATACACACTCATTCATACACACTTCAACACGTACATTCACAAGCAGATGTAAACAGGTTCCGAATCCTCACACACACAGATATATATATATATATGTACACACAAACAAACACATACTCATCATCCACCCAACATAATCCTCTGATACCATTGTTTTGGGTTTCACCCAGCACGAAACGAGATAAATTCTCTAAATTGAGCGCTAAGCTGTGTGGAGGAAAACCTCCAGCTAATATGTTGAATCTTAAACAGCTCAAACAGAAGCACAATGCTCAGTAATCTGCAAATCACCCTGTTATTATTTCATCCATGTGTTTAATTCACTTAAAGAGGCTAAGTGGGTGGCAATTAGTGAAGGTGAGCGAAAGAGAAAAGGAGGAATACAATTATTCCAAAAGTTCTGCTTGTATGTATATTCACAAAGTGTTGAACGGATGAAAAGTGCAAATGGTTTGTAACAAACAAATCCTGGTAAACAAACAAAAAAGCCATCATCAGCAACTCTTATAGAACCTGAAAAAGACTGCCAAGCTGCTATCTCTCGCAAGCAGAAGGACGGACAAACACTCAGCGTCTGTTCAAAGGCAGAGTAAATATTAGCCGGGCCGCGGACAAAATAAAGAAGGTCCATAAACGAGAAGGTCAAAAAGTATATCCTCTCTTAAAGCCTGACGCGGAAAAACTAAATGCACAATGTGGCAACACGGGCGCATTGTGTGTGAGATGAAGTGTTTTTTTGTGTGTCTGCAAGACACTTCCCGCGGTCTTTCATCAACTTTAAGAGGTGAAGTGATTGGGCCTCTCGCAAGTGCTTGGAGCAACACTCAGCAGGCCGCTTACACATTTAAAAAATGAGGAAAATAGAGACATTTAGAAAGAGAAAGAGCGAGAGAGGGGGGAAATACAGGCACGGATTAAAACTATTTCCTGTGCGACACTAACAATTACGTTTGTTGCATTTATGGAAAGTAGAGATGTATTGTTTGTTATATTGCATGTTGTCCCTCATGTGATACATTCTGTTCTTTTCTGCTGACATTTTGGGAGCGTGAATGGAGTGGATCTCTGTTCAGATCAGTGTGTGTGGCTCTCGAGCAGATGGCTGGGCACGGGGCTTCACTCCGGTGGATCATTTCAGAGTTTCGGATATCCTTTTGATAGGAAATGCTTTACACTTGGAGAAGATCACAACCAGATTAAAGTATGTCATTTTAGATCCGGGCGAACCCAAATCTACATTTTCTGTGTAGGTGCAGTGTGCGAAAAAGCAATTTGCGTAAACAACAACACATTATGTCCCGTAATGTTCCACCACAACCTCAATCAGCCTTTTGCAGCATACCTTTGTATGCCCCAACTGTGTTGCTCTGTATTTGTGCAGTAAATACTTGTTTTTATTTGTTTTTTACAGTTCTGTAAGCTCACATTATTTACAATTTGTTTAGTTAATTTGCCTTTTTTTTCTCTCAAAAGAACCGATAAGAGTACCGTTAAAGGACCGGATCGATAAGCGGTATCGATAAAAGTAGTAGTACCGTTAAAACGACACCCATCCCTATGTGTGATGCAGTAAAATCTTACCACTCGCGGTGTCGTAAAACCGTGGGAAAATGTAAAATATGATGCCGAAGAAGAAGATTCCAGTGGCCCCAAGAGGAAGATTCTTATATAGCATGTTTCTTGCCAAATATGAACAAATTACATTACATTACATTTAGCTGGCGCTTTTATCCAAAGCGACTTACAATAAGTGCGTTCGACCAAGAAGATACAAACTTGAAGAAAACAGAATCATATAAGTCAGGTTTCATAGAGCCAAACATTTCAAGTGCTACTCAACAGGCTTTAGATAAGCCAGACCTGTGTTAGTGTATAAGTGCTTTTTATTTTGTTTTGTTTTAAAATAAACAATAAAATGTTATCTTAGTTACAGTCACCCAGATTCTTGTATGCTTTATGTTGATATTTAATCATATTTAAAATAGGTGCAGCATGCACAAAGTATAGCTATGGACAAGTGAAATATGTATACGGACAAGTACATTGCCAAACTCACTTGTGGACAAGTACTCTCTAAAAACTTTTTCTTACACTGAGGTGTAAATGTGGCTGCGATGGTTGTTCTCAACACTTATTTCTTCAGGGAATGTAGAGTGAGCATGCATGTTCTTTCGCAGAAGCACGCTGCTTCATGTCAATACGCCCACACACACACACACACACCACACACACACACACACACACACACACACACACACACACACACACACACACACACACACACACACACACACACACCACACACACACACACACACACACACACACACACACACCACACACACACACACACACACACACACACACACACACACACACACACACACACACACACACACACACACACACACACACACACACACCCTGAGGACTGAGTGCAGAGGAGTTATTTATATATATTCATTTTGCTACAGCAAGTCCTTTTAATAATATATACATTTCAACCATAGTAACACAGCTTTTCTAAAAGACAGGATTTTGATATCGATATCCTAGGAATTCACTGCTTTTGGTTGAAACATAATACAGGAATTACATTAAATAAACAATATATAATGTGTAAATGTATGAGCTTTAGAGTTGCTTGTCTTACCTTCAGACAGAGCCAGGCCTCCCCCTGCTTTAAGTCTTTATGCTAAGATAAGTTAGCATGAACAGTTTCCTGATTTTGACTTGATACATACAACGGAAATCCGAGTCATATTCACTTTGTCATTTACCGTCAAAGGGGAAACAAATAGGTGCATTTACTCAAATCTAATGTCAGACAGGAATGAATCGCCTATGTATGAATATATGAGTTTGTAAAGTTTACCTGCAACTGTCGTCTCTGAATTTCCTCCACCATGATTGCGAGACACTTGGTGAAGTCTGTTAGATCCTGGTCAGCTGTTTCTATCAGCTTGCACCCCTGCACACAAAGAAAAATGGAAACACAGGCATCAACAAAACACAAATCAGATGGATGTACATATACGTAGATAACAAAACCCAGGCAGAGATAAGGGATAGGGGATGGACGGAGGTATAAATCAGTGTTTTAGTCTTGCTGCCTGACGCTGTGTCGCTGAATAATGTAGAGGTTCCAGTCACTGGCCCTAAACTACAGCATGCAGGTAAACAACCATGCTCTGCCTCTGTCTCCTTCCCTCTCCATATACTGTCACTTCTCTCCTGAAACACATCAACTTTACAATTACACACCCACTCTCTTCCTCCATCCCTGCCTCCCCTCCTCTCTCGCCTTCCCTTGCCGATGTTTTCCGTTTCTCTCTCTCCCATTTATGCAGAATTATTCACCGTTTCCGACAAATCTCTGAAGGACCGCCTCAAACGTTCACATTGTTCTGCGCCTTAAGCATTACCATAAAAGTCTGTTCCCTCACGGAAAAAAGGTATTGCTCTTTTTTTTTAAGACAACCTGTTTTCATTTGTGAAAAGATACTTTTATTACAGATGGCTACAGAGAAAGCGGGGAACGGTGAGAGTGGAACAAAAGGTGCCTCGATGAAGGCCACCCATATCTCTGTTTGTATGTACGTCGTGTGTGTGCTAGTGTGTGCATGGTGAAGTATAGGATCCGCATTTTAAACTGTATGCATTGGGTTTTAAAGCAAGGCTGATCACAGTAAAGCAACAAGGAGAACATACAGAAGCTAGATTTTATTTCCTCTTCCTTAGGTGAATTGAATAGAGCCTCATCTCGTCCACTTCATAGAACAATTAACATTTTATGGTCATGACCTTGGACAATGGTGAGATGTCATAGGAAAACTAGATGTCATAGGAAAACTCTAGATTGTTGAGGTATACTTCAGATAAAATACATTAACATCTTATGTTCAAAAGTATTTCAGTCTCAGAAAATTGCTGTAAAAGGTACGAAAAAAGAGGCAAAAACCAGATAAAAAGGTTGCTAAATAACCATAGTCTTGCACTGTAAATCTGATTATTTTTGTATTATCTTATAAAATGATCTGAGGGAAAGGTTAATACTGCAGAGATGCCAACATTGAATATGTAAAAAGAGTAGCATTTGCGAGCGAAGCGAGCAAAGAACCAGTTGGGGGTTCGGGGGGCGCTGTAAGCCCCCGAGATTTTTTTTTATATTAAAGGCTCTCAGGGGCTCTGTGAGCTGCTATTATTTCTCATCAGGTGTTGTTTTCAAGCAGAACCTTTTGGTGAAATAGTGGACAGATGCAAAAAAAATTCATCCGGGATCCCTGACCTATTTTAATGTTTATCTATCCAATGTTTCCTTAAATGCTATTGAAAACAATGCAGCTAATTATATAAACATTAAATGAACACAATAAATAGAGAGTGAGCACTGCAACCTTTGTCATTTTATTAAACCAACCATAGAGCTTCAGTTTCTATTTTCTTCATGTTGATCAGTCATATCATAATCCATAGTAATAAATTGCTCACAAACATGCAATATAATATATATGTACAACTGATATTACTTTAAGTTTAAGTGTACTCATAGTAAAGTTATTCAAGGAGACCATTTCCCATATATTATTTTATGTAGGTCAGATATAGTGTACCCAACATTGCCCCCACCCCAACACATGTTCATCCATAATCTTAATGCAATGACTCAGCTATATATATGTACTATCATTCCCTTAAATTAACCTTAAAAAAAAGGAAAATAAGATTAAACTACCTGGATCTTATTTCTTGATGGCATTTTTCGACTCCTTGCACATCAATAACTATGTTACTACCACATCACACTCAACTATATATACATGAATATCCTAGTACTAATCTATGGCACTGGTTAAAGTGCATGTTTTTATACAATCTCAATGTTTATATACAATCTCAACGTTTTTGTATGTCGCTCGACATCACTCTTCCCGCCATGTCGAATGCTGACATCGCAGCTACACAGCGTGCAGTACGCATGAAACTCGTCGAGTTTTGACCTATGAATCACAGGCCACACAACAGAGTATTCTGGCAGAAATCGTTGGTCGTTAGTCCTCTGCTTTTTAGCGGGTGGTGCTGCCATCGCATTGGGGACAATTTTTCGCGGATTTAAACCGATTTTATAAGATTCTCGTGACACTCATCGACTCGATCGTGTTCTATTCACCCGCGCCTGCCTGTCCGGGGTTTAGTCTCATTAAACACGGATATCCGGATCCGGTATCATTAAGCTTACTATAGCTATATGAATGCTACGGGTTAATCGCATGGGGCGCCGGAAGTGAAACCCGGACTTTCGGGATCAAAGATGTTCGTTCAAATGCATTCGATAGGTGGCGCCACTTTATTTTCTCAGACATAATATCTTGTGTAAAAAAATCGTAGCAAAACATTGAAAAATCGTAGAAGCGTAGTCTAGGTTAAAAATCGTAGTTGCCACGGCCAAATCGTAGACATTGGCATCTCTGATACTGTACCTCCAACATCTAACAACTGCATTGATCTGTAGTTGTAGTTAAAGGTGAAGCGGCGCCTCCTGCCTGTGTTACCACTCCTAACAAGCTCCACTATTACATTTGTGCTCAAATGTAAGAGGATTGATGAAGTTGAAAGCTCAAAAGGGAATTGGTCTTTGCACATGATGGGATTAATATATATTATTTGTTCAGGTTAAAGTTAGCCTGTTCCTGTTTCAGCAGGGGGTGAATTATACCTGTAAGCTGCGACTCGGACCACCTCCAGAGCTACCTTTTGAGGACTGGGTCTAAATGCAACTTGAGTGCACTAACAGTTGAAGCCATGTCATACTGAGCACCGGTTCCTACTTTCATCCTTCAGTCTGCATGTTCTTGCCGCTGCAGGTGGAACTCCTGGAGAGCTTCAAGCACACGAGCCATTAAACCCCAGTTAACTCTGTATAGTCACTTATCCACTCAGGCAGCCTGATGTCAGCACCGAAACCCTGCGACATTCCAAATGGAAATAATCCTAATCAATCTGGACAAAAAAGTTCAAACAATTTCAACTGAACTTCCTACGTTGCAACCTGGCCTTTTAAATAACTGACCCATATATACTCAGACAATACTTGTATTTAATCAGCCCATTAAATAATCAAGCATATGCCACGATTATTCAGAAATGGAGGAGAGAATGCGTTTCCTTACTGACAAGTAACTTTTACAACTAAATCACCTTCACTTGTATATCATTGTTAACTTTAAGGCAGCAGCATACTGAAAACAAAGCCAGGCTCCAGTCAATTATACTGCTTTCCAGTACTGCACTGCAAGAAAACGTCTTTGTACTCATTGTCACTCGAAGTTTGCATCAGATGGGGATTTTTGTCGTTGAATGGCAGACAGTTTCTAGCGAGATCACACAAAAGTCCATCTTGTCAGGTTTCAAGAAATGTTTTTTTCCTGGAAATAAGCATCCTATAATGAGCTACAGGTAGATACAGGCGTGGTTCAGGTGTGTTTGATGTTTAGTGGATAAACCATGAAACAGAAAAGTCTTCACCTTTGTGGAGTATAGCGCAAATCCTCAATGCATTTTTAAAAAGTCAACTTCTTACAAGTTACTTACACGTCAAGGTGGGTTAGGAGTGAAGTCAGGCTGAAGATAGAAGAGTTATTCAGTCCTATTACTTTTTGTTTGTCTCTGTGTGTGTGTACACCTGTAGGCATGAGAGGTTGTGTGCCACTCACCTTGTCTGCATAGAAGGCTTTGACCTCGGCAGTAATGGAATCAAAATCCCCACTGATATAGTCGGGGAGGAAGCTGGATGTGAGGATAGAAAGAGAGGGTGAGTGACAGAGGGAGAGGGTTACGATCGCAAGAAAGACAGAGAGAGTGAAGCAGAGATAGAAAAGAGAAGGGGGGAGAGGACATCAGGGCATGTGTCAGCTCTCTGATCTGTGCAGCGAGGGAGAGGGGGAGCCGGGGGAGCGACGGAGAGACATGGAGACTGACAGGGTGGCACTCTGTGACACACACACACACACACACACACACACACACACACACACACACACACACACACACACACACACACACACACACACACACACACACACACACACACACACACACACACACACACACACACACACACACACACACACACCACACACACACACACACACACACACACACACAGCTGACTGCAGAGATACATAGAGTGATGTGAAGGCACACACACATATGCACAACCAATCTCACACACACACACAAATAAACAGAGCAGGATGTTCCCGGTGTTCGTCAGATATCGTACTTTTCCATTACACCGAGTGACTACATTCTCCATTAGAGCCGAGTATCTGTGTGATTACTACAGGTCAAACTAAAATGTGATGTTTTTAAAACACACCCGATAAATGCAGAATCCTGTAAGAGTAAATGCTGAAATATGGTCGTATAGATAACATGTTTTAGTAATGGATTTAATTAATTAACTCACACGTGTGTCACAAAAACAATATGATGGCAATACTTTCTGGAACATTTGAAAAAATAATTAATGCTATTATTCAAATTAATCTTTAACCTTGTTGTTGTGCATTTTGGAATATAATTGCATGTAAAAATACTGAGATGGAGAGAGCACTCACTGGATCGGTTCGCAACCGAGTGTGAAGCGGCTGGGATGAGGATCAGCACCTCCAAATCTGAGGCCATGGTTCTCAGCAGGAAACCGATGGACTGTCAACTCCAAGTAGGGAATGAGTCCTTACCCCAAGTGAAGGAGTTCAAGTATCTCGGGGTCTTGTTCTCGAGTGAGGGAACAATGGAGCGTGAGATGGGCCGGAGAATCGGAGCAGCGGGAGCGGTACTGCAGTCGCTTTACCGCACCGTTGTGACGAAAAGGGAGCTGAGCCAGAAGGCAAAGCTCTCTGTCTACCGGGCCATTTTCGTTCCTACCCTCACCTATGGTCATGGAGGATGGGTCATGACCGAAAGAACGAGATCGCGGATACAAGCGGCCGAGATGGGTTTTCTCCGCAGGGTGGCTGGTGTCTCCCTTAGGGATAAGGTGAGAAGTTCGGTCATCCGGGAGGGACTCGGAGTTGAGCCGCTCCTCCTTCGCGTCGAAAGGAGCCAGTTGAGGTGGTTCGGGCACCTAGTTAGGATGCCAACCTGGGCGCCTCCCTAGGGAGGTGTTCCAGGCACGTCCAGCTGGGAAGAGACCAAGGGGTAGACCTAGGACCAGGTGGAGGGATTATATCTCTTCGCTGGCCTGGGAGCGCCTTGGGATCCCCCAGTCAGAGCTGGTTGATGTCGCCAGGGAAAAGAAAGTTTGGGGCTCTCTGCTGGAACTGCTACCCCCGCGACCCGACCACGGATAAGCGGGAGAAGATGGATGGATGGATGGATGGAGAGAGAATCTATTAATAATAATTGCTAGTGGAAAGTGCAAAAGGCAAACCGATGAACTAGTAATCAAAAAATCCACATTATTTTTATTTAAATGTTTTAAATGCGAGTTATTGTCAGAAGCAGAATATGGTGATACTAAACAGTACGACAACTCACCTCAAATACTGTAAGCCAATTTCATAAAGTGTCCATAAGTCAAACTATTTCTGAGTTAAAATATGCATTTAGTTGTTCTGGAGGAGGAAATCAACCTGAACTGTACGTTTTAAAAGCTTGCTGTTTGCTTATATACGGCCAATGTACAGGCATAACTTTTGTATACCAAATTAAAACATCAGAAATGTATCAACAACAGTGACCAGTTTATGACTCACAGAACCCAGAATTGCCTCTCAGAAAACAGGCTCAATAATCCTAGAATACATTAAAAACATTAGTTAACTACACAAACCAGGCAGACATACTGTGTTAATACATGCAATTAAGAGGATTACAACCACAAAATGTAGCTGGGCACGAGGTTTGGGAATAAACGTGCATGTAGGCGTTGCATTGTGAATTCAAATTTCCATATGAACTTCATCCAAATACAACTAAGGCAGGCTGCATCCCCAGGGTGTGGGAATTAACATGGTCTGTAGCAGATATCAGAGAAAACAACCAAAATCTACCAGCGAGCCACAACTGAGGAGAATAATATCGTCCCTGTTTATTCCATGTGTGTGTGTGTGTGTGTGTGTGTGTGTGTGTGTGTGTGTGTGTGTGTGTGTGTGTGTGTGTGTGTGTGTGTGTGTGTGTGTGTGTGTGTGTGTGAGAGAGAGGACCACGCAGGGATGCAGTTTCCCCTATCTAGAGGCATTAACAGGTCTGACATTACGATTTCATGGTTGGTTGGGTGGTGTGCTTGTTTGCGTGTGTGTGTGCATGAGTGTGTGTATTGTATGTGTGTGTGTGTTTGTGTGTGCTCGCCAGCAAGAGGCGAGAGCGATGTTCCAGTCGGTTGAAGAAAGAGATACAGAGAGATTATTCTCCTCTCTCCTCTGTGTTCCCATTTACACCAACAAGATACAGCAAGACAAACACAACAGTGAATGTATGCAATCTACTGACACACACACACACACACACACACACACACACACACACACACACACACACACACACACACACACACACACACACACACACACACACACACACACACACACACACACACACACACACACAACCCGTCCCCTCCCTGGACAAACAATGTGATCCAGGTAAAAACGTTCCTGTTCCTCACAAATACATTCACTGGAAAGTACACACACACACACACACACACACACACACACACACACACACACACACACACACACACACACACACACACACACACACACCACACACACACACACACACACACACACACACACACACACACACACACACACACACACACACACACACCACACACACACACACACACACACACACACACACACACACACACACACACACACACACACACACACACACACACACACACACACACACACACACACACAATCCCCCTCCTTATAATACAGGACGATTGCATCTCCATTCAGAAATAACCTTCATGTGACAGATGGGAAGAGGCGTGACACTGGGCCCGATCAGAGCTATAAACACACACACAAACACACACCCCATTGTGACCCGTGTGCATGACTCCGTCGGCTCACAGTAATTGACCAGGCGAGATTTTAAATTCTGTATGTGTGTCTTTGTGCGTGAGCGCCTTTTGTGTGTGTGTTTGTGTGACAGTTTTCACTTCCACATTAATATTAACTGACACTTTAATTTGGATGGGAAATAGAGCATTTTACCGCCAGTTTGTCTGAGCACCGGGTGGCGGGGTGGCTGTGTGACCTTTGCCTGTGTTTGTGTGTGTGTGTTTTCCATCCGCCTGCTTGTGTGTGCCTCTCTCTGCATCCCTTTCCCCCCTCTCCATGCTGCCTATACACCTTCTTCCAATCTCGTCTCATTTCCGCAATACTTACTTTTCTTTGTAACTGAGGCAATTTCCGTCAATCAAACCACTTCATTAAGTTTTAAATAGCAAAATCTCGTCCACTATCTTATACTTTCTTTCGTCTCTGTTTCCGGCAGGCACCACCCTTCCATATGGCCACTTAATTACAACTAAATGTTTAGTTGATATTCTCTAGCTGCCTAATTTCTTTCATCATCTCCTGAAACAAAGCACGACAAACACTCTTCTCGCTTTCTCTCGTCTTTTCATCACTTGAGGATATGCAGCTCTGATTATTCCTCCCGTTCCTTCGCCTCTCCAAATCAGAGGAGAGCCAGTAAAAGGGGGGAGAAATTATTGTGCGTGACATTGACGATACGAACTGTAAGGCACAGATTCCCACACAAAATCTGGATTTTTCTGGCATGCTGATGTACACGTCTTCTACATGCTAATGGTAATCTGTATTGAAACACAGCATTAATCATACATTGAAAGCAGGTCTTTAAAAAAGATTAATAGTTTCGGCGAAAACTAAAAGGTCCCATGGGTTCAGATTATAGCATTCCAAAGAGGGGTTCGTTTAACATGAAACACTTAAAATAACTAAAGGAAAAGAAAGTAGAAAGAAAGTGAGGTCAAAGAAAACTATTCCTGCTGAAAAGTGAGCAATGATTGAGAGTCAGAGCTAAACATTTCATATGTGTGTATCTCACACTCACTGTAACTTTAATTCATGTACCTTTGTTATTCATGTTTTATTTTCTTTGCTTTTAAATTAGTCTTTTTAAATGCCATTTCATAATATGTTTCTTAATGTCTTTCATTTTTGTAAAGCCCTTTGAATTGCCTTGTGTTGAAAGGTGTTGTATAAATAAACGGGCCTTGCCTTGCCTTCAAAGGTGTATCTGTGATCTGAACATGGACAGATTGGTGCAGTGTCGGATGTGTTTGGTGAGGGGACAGATTTGTATCTCTGTGATTGGTGGAGACCGGAAGCGGCATAAGATCAGTGTAGGGATGTGATGTAGGAGGGTCCTGGTTATGGAGGGCTTTGGGAATGTGACTTTAAATTGGATCCGTTGTGGGGCAGAAAGGCACGGGGGTGATCCTGGGATTAGGTGTGGATGAGTAAACTAGCTGCAGAGTTCTGGATGTACTTGTTTTTATTCAGGACTTTGGATGATGTGCCATAACAAATGCAGTGGCAGGAGTCAATTCTAGATGCAGCAGAGAAGGAGAGTGATGGGAGGAGACCGGTAGAAAAGGAAGCCCTAGTGTTGTGATTGACATGGTGTTCTAGGAGAGGTTGCTGTTGAAAATAACTCAGAGTTTGCCGAGGGAGACAGAGTGAAGTTATCGAAGTTGAGGGGTTTTGGACCAATGAAGATCAGGTCGGAAG